GATTAGAACTGAATCCTGTCAAATGTAATGTCATGTCCTTCACATTGAAGTCGGACCCTATCGTTTTCAATTACTCAATTGGTGAAATTTTTTTCTTCTGAGACCTATAACATTCAAAGATCTTGGCGTTATATTTGATCAATCTATATCGTTTAATGATCATATTGACTCAATCCTGAAATCCGCATTTCGAGCATACGGGTTCATAGTACGCAACAGTCGTGATTTTAAAGAGATAGATACTCTTAAGAAATTGTACTACTGTTTTATACGTTCGCAGATTGAATATGCATCGGTTGTTTGGAGCCCATAATATCGGAACAATACTGATCGTCTCGAAAGTCTGCAACGACGGTTTTTAAAACTGTTAAGTTACAGGTCATGCGGTACATACCCTCCAATTGATACACCTCATGGAGAGCTTCTTGAAACTTTCCAATTCGTAAGCCTGCACGTAAGAAGACAATACTTCTCTATCCTGATCCTTTATAAGGTTGTTAACAATCTAATTGACTGTGCAGATTTGTTGGAAAAATTGAACTTTATTATCCCGAGATTATCTTCCAGAAATTGTGATACGTTCTACTTAGAGTTTCCTCGAACCAACATATATAAAAATTCACCCTTGTATAAGATGTGTAGTACGTATAACTTGGTAGCTAGGAATATAGATCTGTTCAGCTGTGGAATAACTCATGTCAAAACTTTTTATCTTTTTTCTCCTTCATCAGTGAATAACTAGATACTTCGAGAGATACTTAGTCAGGATATTTTCATTTTGTCATATTGTTTCGTCTATCCATTATGCTTATGTAAAATGCAATGCATGTTGCCTGTTGAATAGTGCAAGAAATAAATAAATAAAATAAATAAATAAATTATGGTACAAAAGGTAGTAAGCACAGACATACACCTAACAACCCTGCCAAAAATATACCTTATGAAATCTCATAAAAAAATATAGATAAAATTTGAGGATTAATATAAGAATCTATAACACAGTTCTGTAGCATATGAGTACGTTATCTCTGGCACATGAACTTTCTGGAAGGTTCAATAATATTTGATGAGTTTATGTGATTTATAAGCATACCTATACAAATATAGGATTTGAGAGTTTGTATCAGGCACTCGTGGTTTGAGGAGACTATGAGCTTCAATAGGATATCCCACTTTCAATTGGAAAAGTATTCTATGAACATTTATCAGCCTTAGAAGGTATGGAAAATGTGTAGGAGTTTACAAATACTATTGAGTATCGTCAGGAAAAAATAGTCCAGGATTTTAAAGTTTCACTAAGGAATTCCTTATCTAATTTGATGCGATTCCTTTTAGCATTCATGTGATTCAGGATGACTGAGAATTCACGAGTTTCAATTATACAATGAATGATTGATCTGAAATGTGTCCAATAAGTTGTTATAAGACTGAACTACTTCGGAGATTTGTGATCTCAAATATGAAAACACGGTTTTAGAATTATGGTTTCTCAACAGCTTGTACGTGGAATATAATTAATGAGGAATCAGAAGTTCTTATAAGACAATACAGATATAATATCAACCGTATTTCATGGGTACTTGTAAGGGTAAAAATTGTTCGATAATTCATGATATTCAATAAGAAACTGCTGCCCTGATTCTATCGGTTGCTAATGAGTTTTTATGTGGTTTATATTTATTCTAGGATTCGAGATTTCTTAAAAGTATTTACTGGTCTTAAATGGAACGTATCTTATGAGTCAAGCTGAGGTTAGATGTGTTCCAGAATTCATGAGTGTTGATCAGGATATACCGTTATGACTGTATTGGTATGTTATGATGTTTCATGCGGGATTTCTGTTTAAGAATTCACGAGTTTAGATTAGACAATACATGTCTGATCTGAAATGTTTGTATGAGATATGTATGTTCTGAGAATTTGAGAGTTTTCAATGCTGATCTGAAATGGAACGTATCCTATGAGGGAATGTTTGTTTGAGAATTCATGAGTGTTGATAGGGATATACCGTTATGACTGTATCCATATGTTGAGATGTTTAATGCGTTATTTCTGTATGAGGATTCACGAGTTTTGATTAGACAATACATGCCTAATCTGAAGGGTATCTAATAAGTTTGAATGAGATGTGTGTGTTCTGAGGTATTTTGAGGTTTGAAAAGATAATACTGATCTGAAATGAAACGTATCTTATACGTCAAGCTTGATGAGGATATTTAGTTATGACTATTGGTTTATCGTCGTTCATGCTACTTCAAAATACGAGGGTTCTCATAGTCATCCATATCTCAAGTGACATAGGATTTCATATCAGAAATTTCGTCTCGAAAGTCGATCGAAAACAGAGAATATGTGTTATTCTCCAAATCATTTACTTGTCGGGAATAACAGCAGTCCAGGTGAGTGCATCAGCAAAACATGCAGACATAATTATGGTTTGTAAAGAAAGAGCAATAAAACAGTAAGATATAGGTACTTGGAAGTACTCATGTTCTTTGTAATTTCCCTCGTAATTTTCAGACAGAAAAATCAAATCCTGAAAAAATGAAAAAAATCAATACCAAATTCTCCTATAACAACAACTTGAAGTTGTTGTTCGATGCCATAATATAGTACCTCTATAGAAATGATACAAAGAAACCTAGGTACGTTGAATCAATTCAGGTCAATGATACATATGTCACAATGAAAAAATTATGAAATTCCTGCCTAGTTTGCATAGGAGCCGGATGACGTAGTCCACTTCAATTACTCTACGAGGGACTGGAAATCAAAGAAGACATTATGCTGTGTCAAGTCATCCGTCTGACCACAGTGGTGATACCAGAATGGTCAATGGCTGATTCAACTCCCATCAGAAGTTAACGTGGTAACTGTGTGGGCAGGTTTGAAACGTGCCCGATTTTCCCAAACAGCTGGTTCATATTGAACGTATGTGCCCGGTCAAACCACAGACTTCACAGCCTTAGACGACTGTGTGAATTCAAGCCTGAGCCTGCGAAGCAAGAATACAAAGGAAAATTCAGGAAATACATCTGCAGCTTTTCTTGATGACATCTTCGAATATCCCTGCTGAAGCACTATGGCTACACAGTTGCCAAATCAAATGTGTTCGTATAAGTCGAAAAAACTGATAAGTTTACTATAGCGGATCTGGTGCTTCAGGAGAAGCGTCTTGACAGTTGGCAGGTGAGTGAGTGAATTCAAAGGCTTCTCCAAGGCAGTCCACTGTCCTAAATCTTTGGTAATACTAGACGATAGTTCCAGGGTATGCTGCATATGCTGTTCCAGGCAGTTATTTAACATGTTTTTCCGTTTACCTACGGCTACTATACAAAGTAGGCAAGAACACACGAGATACAGCCTCAGTAAGTAGCTCTTTACGAACAGTAAGCACATCGCACAGTTTTCGTTTATTCCGCCAGTATAGGTATGTCATGATCGTGTAATCGCCGTCAACAGCGGATGACATAACTGTCAAGAATTATAATTCAGACTGCTTGTCCAAACTTTTTTTATGTACTATATGGCAGTAGGTAAAGTATAGTACGTAATGCTTGTTGTAAAGCAATTACGCACTCATGGAATTCCTGCGTAATATGCTTCTTACAACACATATTACCTACATCTACTATGTGTTTACCAGCTTTATGTTCCTGTGAGCAAATCGAAATCATCGATGTAAAATATTATTTGGTGTTATGCTTCGAGACAGGGTCTTGAAACGTTACATAGGTTTCCAGATTATTGTTTTTATTGTTGTTTCTGTTGTTCTACCTGAACAAACTTCTTATACTGGAACGTATACATATAATTGATATAAAAGAACTCGTGGTCTTGGTAATTTTCAGGATTTATCAAAGACGAAAATAAAGAATAAAAGATTGAACAAGATATCCTGAATTGCTGTATAAATATGTTGGATAATGATGAACTTCCTGCCAAGTCTGCATAGTAGATGGATATACCTAATAGCTTAGTCCAGTTGCATTCAACGAGGGACTCGAGAGCTTAGGCGACTGTGTGAATTCAAACCTGACCTGGAAATCGAGAAAACAAAGATAATGCAGGAATGACATCTGCAGCTATTCTTGACACACCTTACCTGACACCTTCAATATCCTTGGTGAAGCACTATGGCTATACAGTTGCCAAATCAAAGTTGTGCGTATAAGTCGAGAGGACTGATTAGTTTACTAGTGGTTCTGTTTTTTGAGAAGAAGCAGAGAGTGACTTAACAGTTGACAGGTGAGTGATTTGAAAGACTTCCCCAAGGCTCATGTATATCCGAGTGTTTGAATAGCGTCTACTATGTTGAATTATTAGGAATACTTCTACTAGACAATAGTTCCAGAGTATGCAGTCCCAGGCAGAAAGTTATTTTGATTAGAAGGTATTTTTCCGTTTACGTCCATCTCCTATATGTTAACCAGATCAATATAACTGTGGAGAGATACTTCGGAATGATCCAAGTAAAATATTACTTTAGAAAGGATCTTGAAAACAGCAGTCTATTCAAAGTTGTTTGAAGGCTGCCTTAGCAAAAAATGATGAATATGAATCGTTACATAGCTTTCCTGAGTATTGGTTTTGTTGTTGTGTTCATTGTTCTATGATGATCGCTAATTTTCAGGCCTTTTCAAACATATAATCGTAAAAAAGAAAATGATTCGATTCCTAATTATCGTTCACCCCTATGAAAATAAAAAATAACAAAGAAAACTAGTCATCCTGAATTGCTTCGTAGATATGTTGAGTTAGTTCAAGGTCAACTTCTAGAAGAATACAAACGTCACATTGAGAAAATGCTGAAATTCCTGTCAAGTTTGCAGAGGAGGTGAATATAACTATACGTAGTCCAGTATAGTGTATTCAACGAGGGATCGATCGAAGAAAAGCTCAGGCGATTCCAAACCCAAACTAAACAGATGGATGCAGCAAAATATGGAAAAGACATTTGCAGCTATTCTTCGCATCTTCACTAGAGTTTCCAAATAAAAATGTGCATAACAGTTGAGAGGAATGACAAGTTTACTTGCGGTTTTGGTGCCTCAGAAGAAGCAGTCAGCGTCTTGACAGTTGACAGGTGAGTGAATTTAAAGACTTCTCCAAGGCTCAGATATATCCGAGTGTTTTGTTTGAATAACAATCTCCTGTATTGAGTTTTTGAGAATACTACTAGACAATATCGTTATTCTTGACACACCTTACCTGAGACCTTCAATATCCCTGGTGAAGCACTATGGCTAAACAGTTGCCAAATCGAAGGTGTGCGTATAAGTCGAGAAGAATGATAAGTTTACTAGCGGTTCTGTTGCTTCAGAGAGAAGCAGAGAGTGTCTAAACAGTTGACAGGTGAGTGAGTGAATTCAAAGACTTCTCCAAGGCTCATGTATATCCGAGCGTTTGAATAGCGTCTACTATGTTGAATTCTTGGGAATACTTCTACTAGACAATAGTTCCAGAGTATGCAGTCGCAGGCAGAATGCTATTCTAATAAGAATATGTTTTTCCGTATACGTACATCTCCTATATATGTTAACCAGATTCATATAACTGTGAAGAAATACTTCGAAGTGATCGATGTAAAATATTATTTTGTCTTATGCTTCAAGAAAAGATCTTGAAAACAGCAGGACTATTCGAAGTTGTTTGAAGGCTGCCTTAGCAAAAAATGATGAATATGAAGCGTTACATAGCTTTCCTGAGTATTGGTTTTTATTGTTTTATGATTCTCGATGATTTTCAGGCCTTTCCAAATCCAAACATAGTGTCGTGAAAAAGAAAATGATTTATTCACTAATAATAATTGTTCTCCCCTATGAAAATGAGAATTAATGAAGAAAACTGGTCATCCTGAATTGCTTCGTAGATATGTTGAGTTAGGTCAAGGTTAACTTCTGGAAGAATACAAACGTCACATTGAGAAAATGCTGAAATTCCTGTCCTGTATAGTTGTATTCAACGAGGGATCGAGATCGAAGAAAAGTTCAGGCGAATCCAAACCTTCCAAACCGCCTTCTCTTCCAGGGCTCCAATACCAGCCAGGCAAATCAGAAACGAACGAGGAAGAAATGTTGACAACATAAATATGGACTTGCGAACAAAACACAAGCATGCCTTTTATCTAGTAAGGCCGATTTCACTGTGCCCAACATAAGCTTCTCAGGAGTAACCATACCTTTGAAGACATCCATTTCGATGAAAAATCACGTGGGATCAATTGCATCTCAAAAACTTGGTTTTCTGTTTCTGGCCAGGAGCTATTTCACTTCCAGTCAGCTGCTTACCCTAACAACACCAGTACATCCTAGGGCTTCCCATGGACGTCCCTGATTTTATACTAGGACATCCCAGGGATATCCTTTGTCGGGACAACGTACATACTAGGGATGTCCCAGGGACATCCGCTGGCCGCTAAAAAAGACATCCAAGGGATGTCCTTCTGGTACGTCCCTGGGATGTACCAAGTACGATGAAAGGATATCCCTAGGACGTCCCAAGGATATCCCAGGGACATCCTTTCGACAAAAGAAAAAAGTTGCAGGTCGAGTAGGGATTGAACCCGGGACCTTTGGCTTATCATGCACGCACCTTGCTCCATTGGCTATCATGCCTCCTGAAGATTTATGTACTAAACAGATTTATAAACAGGACTTAACTACAGAAACCTGAATGAATACAACTTTATTAGGAATTGGGTATAATTATTATCATTCTTGGGTGTTCAAAAATGAGGGGCATTATGCATGTACGATTTCTGTTTGCGAAAAATGGTAATTTATTAAGAAGTTCTGAGACTTTATTCTTTATTTTCATTACAATCATTTTCCGAGAGAGAAACAAACATTTTCAAAAAAATTCAACTCAATAGTTTGATGAAATTCAATGACTCTGATGTGAATGGATATCAGATACTCCAGGGACACGAATAGGATAACCTAGGGATGTACCGGGCGGGATGTCCACTGGACAACCCCTGGATGTCCCAATCATGTCCTTGTACCGCGGGACAAAAAAGGGACGTACCTAGGACATCCCTGTGTTGTTAGGGTATGATCTATAAGGCACAGATCCGACCTGTCCTGGAATACTGTTCCCATATTTGGAGTGCAGCACCCAAACATACCCTGAAACTGTTGGATTCTGTCCAATAAAGGGCAATAATTCGTCTCGTAGGTGACGCCTCGCTGACAAACTCACTTCTCTAGAACACCGTAAAAAAGTTGGCGATCTGACTCTATTTTATAGATATTTTCATGAACGATGTCGTTCTGAAATATCAACAATTGTTTCCTCCTTGGCAGGCCCCGTGAGATTTACCCGTCGAGTTGAGGCTTCGCACCCCTTCGTGATCACTTTGGAGACCTGCAGAACATATCTCTTTCCAGAGACTCGTTCATCCAACAAACAGCGAGGCTTTGGAACACATTGGCAAGGAAGTTGTTCCCCGAGGCATATAACCTCCAGAAATTCAAGGAGAACACCAATTCCTACCTTATTTCCTTTGGTTCTCACGATGTTCTCTGAACATTACAGGATATCCCTTCTCGTGGAAACCAGAACATAAAAAGAAGTCTACTGTGTTTACATCTTTGGGAATACCTCTACTTGGCCCTAGTTCCAGAACATATTCTTTTTGTTTACGTATATCTATATGTTTACCAGATTCATATGTAATACACATTGTTTGAAGGCAGCCTCAGCAAGAAATATGAAGCGTAAGGGAAATGAACTGGTAATCCTATTGAAAGCAAGGAGGATTTCTTAGGAGGAGTTGATGCACTAGCCTACCCTTCAATTTTCAAACCAGTAAATTTTCTATGATGTACCATATACAAGCGAAGCTACTGGTACACTTCTCATTTTTTCTTTACATGTTGAAAAGCCGAAAGTTAGTGGCAGTTACTGGGTGTTTCATTTGAACACGGAAATACATCAACAATAGAATGTGGGAAGACGTCACTGAAGCAGTTTTGAATCGACATCATATAAGATTCATTTTACTCGTTTCTCCATAGGGTCGTGACTAATTGTTCACCCAGTATATTTTTCCGATATTCGTTTTTACATATTCTGATTCCAATACTCAAGCAGCTAACGTACTGGTCAGGAATAATCTTTACGTTGAGAGTTTCTCAGGTTCCCATTCGAATAAAATTCAGAAAATTTTGAACATTATACAGGGTGAGTCATAACTATTGGGACATAGGCTAATGGTGGAATGTTTGGACCAAATACGCCTTGTTAAAATATTGCTGTGGAAAAAGATACAGGGCGTTTCAATCGAAAAAGTATTCACTGTAAATTTATTCACGGACAAGAAATGTAATTCAGCAGCAAGAATTATCTGACAATCTAAAGTACACTCTTCATAAATGAAATAATATTTCGAATACACTCCCAAGACTTTGAACTATTCAGTTACGTTTTTCTCGAAAACTGATGAAAATATCGTGTTCAAAAAAGAGTAGGTACCAATATTCGTAGAATTTATTTTTATGTCATATTTTCTGATCAGAATCGCTAAAAAGTTCCGTCAAATAAAGTTACCAGTCGATTTCATCATCAGAAATCATTCACGTGGCGCCCCGTGTAACAACATGTAGAATAATACATAAAATGAAAATCCCTGTATAACATTGTGCCTCCGTGCCGATTTTGACAACAATTTTATTTTTTTTTATTTATTTAATGAGGACACCCAACAGACAAACGAAGAGCTTGTCCAATTACAGAGTGACACAGAATACAATCATGGTTTACAATGTGAGCTATGCTAGTCGCTAAAGTTTATACAAAATGTAACAATATATAATAATAATAATAATATATAAATATCATTAAATGAACCACCACTATTATTGAGGATCAAAGAGAAGAAGAGAGAAAAAAAAATATATACCTGAATGTAGTGAGTACAATGCTGCCTCAGGTTACAGCTCTACCATATAATATAGTTAATTTGTACTTGAGTTGTTTCTTGAACATTGTGAAATTGTTGCTGAAGATGTCAATATCATGGTAACAGATTATGTTATAAGAGTTCATGCATCTGATAAGGGGAGAGTTACAATAGTAATTGAAAAATATACATTGAAATTATTGGTAAAAAACTAAATCTACGTTAAATAGTTTCATCATCCTCCCGGAATCTATGCACCGACTCGTATAAATGAATACTGATCCAAGTGATTTTTTTCTGAATGTCGGCATTAATTATTTCGAAACGACTCAGGAAATTTTGTTTGCAAACTTCAGTCTCAGATCCAGCACCCCCGAAAACAAATAAATCTGCAGAGAAACCTATATTTACTACTTGAATTTTTTGTGTGCAAAAAGCGTTTTATTGGACTATTTGGTACATTCGATAATAAGTATAAGCAAATATGAATGTCTCTACCAATTTATAGCATTTTACCTACGGCCACTATAGAAAGTAGGTAAGAACACACGAGCTACAGCCTCAGTAAGTAGCTCTTTACGTACAGTAAGCACATCGCACAGTTTCCGTTTAATCCGCCAGTCATGATCGCGTAATCGCCGTCAACAGCGGATGACATAACTGTCAAGAATTATAATTCAGACTGTTGGTTCAAACTTTTTTGATGTACTATATGGCAGTAGGTAAAGTATAGTACGTAATGCATGTTGTAAAGCAATTACCCACTCATGGAATTATGCACTCGCAGATCCGCGGATGCGTGCGTAACTTTCAAATTCGTGCGTAATATGCTTCTTTCAACACATATCACGTTATATACTATTACGAATTATTATTCCTATTCAGATTACTTTGATCTAATATGACTGGTACTGGAGTTCTATAAACCGACGAGTGAAAAACGCTACAAAAATCTGGACAGTCCTGTGGTGATTTGCACTTCATTTCCAACAGTGAAAAATAATCACAGCGTTGTCAATTCTATTAGCCGAAATTCCCTAAAAATTTCAGGTCGACTGATTCAATTTTAAAGCGGTTTCCTGTCATCCCCTTCAACTCTCGTTGTCCTGAGCAAATCGAATCACCTAATTTTCCGCTTTCCTTTCCAGGAATCCACCATGAATGGAACCGTACCCAAAAAA